TTTTTTTTTTTTTTTTTTCCTGAATATAAAAGTTGTACTTCCTAAAGGACTCCGAGAAAGGCTTTATTGTGATTCACGGCTGATGTCCTTTTTATCGCAGTCTGTTGCTGGACTAGCTGCAGATGGCAGGCAAATTGTTGCAAGAGCAAAATCTGAAGCAACTAATTATGAAAGGTTTCATTTTGATTATTGTCTTTTTACCCTCCTTTTCACCGGTTAACCCATTTCGCTATTTTTATTTTTTATTTTTTTTTTATAGTCTGATTGTTTGCCGTGTTGAGGGGAACTATTTAGCGATTGTTTTCTTTAATCTATTGTTGTCATTCTGATATGCAGTGTGTATGGTGAGCCAATTCCTGTACAAGAACTTGCGCAACGTGTGGCTAGTTACGTGCACTTGTGCACACTCTATTGGTGGCTCAGGTTTGATATAGAACATAGTTGCCCATCTATTTATTTGCTTACTTTTTGTGCTATCTCCATATGAAACAAATTAAATACTGCAGGCCTTTCGGATGTGGGGTGATTTTGGGTGGATACGATAGAGATGGGCCTCAGTTGTACATGGTTGAACCATCTGGGATTTCCTACGTGAGTTTCTTTTTATTCTTTTTGCATTAAATAAACACGATGGCTATATAATAGTTCAATATAGCATTACTTTTTGGGTTACTCTTCCCCTCTGGAAGTTCACCACACGTTTATTTCCACCTCCTCAATCCTCATACAGTCCTCATTTCTTTTCATTTTATTTTTCCTCTGGTGTCTTTTGTTTTTGCATTCTCTTTACTGCAGAGGTACTTTGGTGCTGCCATTGGGAAGGGAAGGCAGGCTGCTAAAACGTAAGTAATATATTTTCTTCTAGTCACCTGAGGTTATATACTTACAAAGCATAAAAAGACTTTGAGAAAATGAAGCCGAAAAGAAGGATCTTTTTTTTAATAGAAGGGTTATTACAGGCTGCTAAAGTCGAAGGAATATGTTTGCTTCTACTCACCTCAGGTTATAGACTTACAAAGCATAAATTGAGTTGTGAAAATGAAGCAGAAAAGAAAGAAAGATAAATAAATAAATACAAGGGAAGCATAATATCTGTATCGCGCCCTAGTATTTTAACGATATTTGTCAATTTTTTTGAGTTAGCTCTTAGTTTACAGTGAACTTTTATGATAATGACTTCCTGTAAAAGGTTCAGGGATTTAGATTCTCTGATTATAAATTTATATTTATGTACTGATCATGGTTTATGAATCTGCATGTATTCATTTTTCTACTTTATTTATTTATTCTTATTATGGTTTTTAGCAATAGCTTTGATTCAACCGTTTGTGCTAACAATTTGTGTTGACAGAGAGATTGAAAAATTAAATCTTTCTGAGATGACTTGCCGACAAGGGGTTATTGAGGTGGCAAAAATGTGAGTCCCCTCTTCTATATTTTGCATCGCTTACCAATTGAACCCCTCAAGTATGATATAAATTGAGTCAAATTACCTCTGTATTGTATAAAATTGCAACACACATTCATGGTTATCAAAATCTTTGTTAAACATATCAAATGCCTCCCAGATTAACATAAACTACGTTGCATATTTATCGAATATCTGTGCAGTATTTATGGTGTGCATGATGAGGCGAAGGACAAGGCATTTGAACTGGAAATGAGTTGGGTTTGTGACGAGTCCAACCGTCAGCATCAAAAGGTAAATTTATGTGTGTGTATATTTATTCCATGTAATTCTTTCAGGTAGCAGTTAGTTATGTACATTTCTCTCAATATTTTTGTCATAAATTGATTATTATAAATGTTTACCCACCTGTATTCGCGACGCACCAGGTCCCAGATGATCTATTAGAGGAAGCTAAGACAGCCGCTAAAGCTGCACTTGAAGAAATGGATGCAGATTAATCAGATGCGACATTTGTTCTCTCTTTTGTAACATTTTTTTCGACTATGGCTCTGCTCGACTCTCGATTTTCTATGGGTGGAACACAATATGATCGACTCAGATTCGTTGTTACATGTAAAAACCTATTCCAGCTTTAAACTATCTCGAGAAATCTGTGTCGACCTTAATTTAAGTCTCCAATTGGCAATTTATGTTATCTTCGTAGTAGTAACATACAAATCGATGCATATAGAATACTTGATATCGATCAACTAATGGAAAACTACACAAACATTTCACATATGAAACAATCTTAACCGTATCTTTACATGATTTTGTTTTAAACTCAAAGTACATCTGAGGCAACTCTTTACAAACCATAAGTCAAAATCAATTTCTCCATATTTCCCATGCACCAAAAGGCAAAATCAGT